GCACGATATGCAACATCACCAAGCGCTCAATCGGTGACGTCTGAGTCTTAAGGTCGGTCAAAAATGGGGTGTCTACACCTATCTATTCGGAAATTCCAGAAAAATAATGTACATCAAGCATACATTTTAGTCAAATTATATGAAAAAATCAAATGATATCCAAATATTATCGCTGCATCATTAAAGTAAGTGCATCAAATAAAAAGTTTTGATCAATTTTTGTCATATGTTGATTATTTACAAATGACATAATAGATTACGTAACTTGACAGTTTTATGAAAGTGACCCTACAAATACTTATAAGCATGGATCTATAAATATCGTGAAAACAATTATGAAATTCCTATATCAATCAAAATATTAATCTACAATATCATTCCATTTTGTTAAAAAAACTAGTCCACATTTTCTACATAAATGAAAATACACTAATGACTAATGTTATATTTTTAATCATGCAAAATATTCGTGATATAGGAAACGAGACACAACAACTCTTAATGTATAAAAATATATTACATATTGATATTAATGTATTCTTACACCAATAGCATGCAAATAATATATAATAGTGAGTTCAATGAATTTGTATTATGAGATGAACTATTAAACAAAATTGTATAATTGTGCAATTAATTTCATACCTCAATTGTATTACATGTACAGATTATGAAAAATTGAAGTGAAGAATTGATAGAAAAATATTTGTACAATACTATATATTTAAAGGACCTATTTAATAATTATTTTTTTCAGATAAAATTGTGTTCTCAACAATTTAGTTTTGAATTAATATTTATGTTTATAAAATTTCTTATTTATCATTTAAATTATTCAGCCAACTATTTTTTCATTTCTTACTTGTTGTTTTTCTTTGTTTTTTTGGATGGGTAAAATTTCTTACTTAGTTGTATTTTGTATACAGATCAATTTACTCATACAAAATCTTTATACTTTGTATACATATCAATTTAAGAAACACATATAATTACAATATTAACAATTAAATGAAAAATCATGTGTCACGTACAACGTACATGCCCAACCACTGGTATAAATTAAAAAACTGTAAAGGTAATAGTTGCCAACGGGACTACATATTCATATTTAGTACATAAAATTATCCATAAAAAGAAAAAAAAAGAAAAAAAAAACAAATTTTGATGAGATTTATTTTAATTGTAAATTTTAACATATAAAAAAGTTGGGATAAATTACAAATACACTCCTGAGGTTTGATTAAAATACGAATCGCCCATTGTGATTTTAAAAGTTACATTTGACCTCCTGAGATTTCTAATTTCATAATAAATCACCCCTTTTATTAATAAATTATCAAATTAATTAACAGTTTTTACTGATGTTAAAAATATGTTTCAATTAGTAATTTAGGCAATTATTATTGTATATGAGAGTAATTATGAATTTCATTTTTTTAAGTTAGTTTTGTTAAATAAAAAATTCTAATAACAGGTATTTATAATTTTTCAAACCATAAGAAATAATTTATATTTTAAGCAAACTTCAAAAAGTGTATTTATAAGTTACTCCAAAAATTGAATTCAGACATTTTTTTTTTTTTTAAGATAGCATTTGATATTTGTTAAGTACCAATTTTTGGTACCTAAAATTACTGCACACTTACCGCCACTTGGGGTCATTGTTGTGCATTGCGCACGATAATGATTCTTGTGCTAGTTGCGAGACTCTTTTTAAATTTATTTTAATAATTTAAAACAAAATGATTTTCCCCCCGAATCTCCCCTTCCCCGAATCTCTTGACTGCCCAAAACGACGTTGTTTTGGACAGTTTCTTTTTTTCATTTTTTTTCATTTTTTTCAGTCTGAAACTGAAACGGAGGGAGATAAAGAGAAAGAGGGAGAGAAGAGAGGGGAAGAGGAAGAGGAGAGAAAGAGAAGAGAGGGGAAGAGGGAATGGAGAGAGAGAGAGAGAGAGAGAGTGTAACGCCCTCAAAAATAACCCATTATATATCATTGACATGCATTATTTAAAGAAGACAATTTATTAATTCATTCATCAGAGTATTACTAAATAAAGCATTACATGTAACATCGAACAAAATGCCCTACAGGCTTACATCTTTCCAAGCCAATACTTGGATTCAAAAATATGAGTTCTAATCTCAATACAAGAAAAGCCCTAGGCTTGAATGTTTACATGAACTAATAAATAAAAACTATTAACTAAAGGTAGTCTTCTTCAATCCAGAAGCCAAACCCTCCCAAGCTAAGTCCTTGGAGGTAGTTTATCACCTGAACCTGAAAATGATGTTCCCATAAAGGGTGAGCCACAGCCCAGTAGAAATATACTAAACCACATATAAGCAATGAATAAAGCAATAGCATTCAACAGATGGTCAACCAAGATAATCAATTACTTCATTTTACAGCCTCAAGACACTATTGTCTAACGATAACAACCAGTCCATACCTAATATAGAATCAAAAATCGACATGTTAATTAACACAAATGCAAAAGAAAGTCGGTGACTGGCAACCTCTATGTCACAACCTCGACACCGCTGCTCCAAGACAATCTCACCACCAATAGATGACTCTACATTGAGAGAAGATATTAACCGAGTCAATTCTAACCCCAAAGCCGATGCAAATGCAGATGAGATAAATGAATGGGATGCACTCATATTAATCAACACATTAGCAATAGAATTACATAACAAGAAAGTACCTCTCACAATTGAAGGTGCTGGTCCTAGGTCTAGTGCGGCAATGACATACACATGCCTTGAAGGTCTCTGCTCTACCTGCTCACCCCTCAGAGCATAAGCCTAATGTACTGATTGAGCCAAAGAAGCTCTCTGATTGGCCCTTGAGGCTTGAACTGACTGTGCAGGCTAGTAGCTCTGTGTCTGTCTTGAACCAGACATACTAGGTATGTCGCCTAACTGAGGGCAAAACCTCTTTATGTGCCCTGCTGCCCACTTTGATAATAAGTGTGTGGCTGCTCTCTCCTCTAACTCTGGCTCTGGGAACAAATCAAGGAAGATGTAGATCGCTGCCCTCCTCCTCTCCGCAGGCAAGCTGGAGACTTGTGGCCCAATTGACCACACTTAAAACAAGTAAAATCTCCCTGACCACCTCTCCCAGAACCCGAACTTAGTACCGGAACGGTGGACCTTGATTGAGCTCCTTAGGACTGCTATGGGTTAGAACCCCTCTGCCTTTCTAAAAATAATTTTAAAAAATAAAATAAAATAATATTTTTTTCAATTTTTTTTTAAATAGAGTTTTGAAAAAAGTTTAATTTTGAGTTTTGAAAAGAATTTTAAATTAAGTTTTGAGTTGTGTGTTTGGTTATAAGTTTTAAAAATAATTTTAAATTAAATTTTGAGTTTTAAAAAAATTTATTTAATTATTCATTTTTTTTAAAAAAAAATAATTTTTAATTAAAATCACAATTTCAAAACAAAACCAGACGCTGCCGCTATTTTTCAGACAAAGCCACTGTGGTCCCATACAAAACTAACAGTAACTTATTGCATTCGACTTTCGTGGGTAAATATATATCCTCCGTTTTTGGATAGTGGCTCTCTCACCACTCTATTTTCTTTTTAATCCTCAATATTCCATTTTGTAAGTCTTGTGGGACTCTAATAATTAGGGGTACTTGCAAATGGGGTTATGGAGGTAATTTCTCGTCTGTTAATCATCCGAAGTTAGTTAGATTGAAAAAAAAATAATTTATATTTGTTCGCTTAGTTAGTGGATACAGATTGAGCTAGTCATATAGGTTGGCAGGTGAATTTGAATCGATTAGGTGGTTTAGACTTTACTATTTTATGCTTTTTAAAACTATTTCAGAATAATTTTTTTACTATTTTTGAACCTTATTGTCTCATTTTTTTTTTATTCTTCATTTTTTATAATTAAAATAAAGACCAAACTTTCATATTTTATAAATACCTAATATTATTACTACATAATTTTTTTTTAACTATACAAAGCATAAAAAATAACATCATTTTCTTAAGGGGGTTGGCAAATCAAATTGGGTTGGGTTGGGTTGGGTTGGGTTGGGTTGGGTGGCCTCTCTTCTGTCATTCGTCCGAACATAGGTACCCATAACAACAATAATCCGAATTGTTTGTCCTGTAGGTTTTGAAGAGAAAGGACATATAAGTAAAAAATTAACTTGATGGAAAATCGATAGGCACATTAACTAATCATGTCTTATTAAATTAACGGTAAATATGATTTTAAATTAAAACCATTCAATTTATCAAATAACATACGACAAGTTAATATATTTATCAATATCAGATTAAGTTAATTTTTACATATATGTATATATATATATATATTCTCCTCTCTAATATTTATGAGATAAACAGTTTGGATCACTGTATTAGAATCCCATGAGGGCCTACAAAATAAAGTTTTGAGAGTTATAGAGAAAATGAAATTTTGAGCGGAGTCGGTTTTTGTTCTATTGTGAATAAAATACAAAATAAAACATAAAAAATAAATAAAAACTTTACATATCCAGCAAAATTAAGAGTAGTACATTTATAAATCAAAATCATTCTAAAGAGTTGTTTAGAGTGCCTTAAATAAGTGTATTTTTTGTCTTTTTGGACTAAAAAATTGAAAAAAAAAATATGAGTGTTTGGGTTAACTTTTTGACTTTTTACGGAAACATATGTATTAAAAAATTGAATAAATTAGTGTGTAGGGGAAAATTAAAATTGAGAGTGCAGCCGTAATTTTTGACTTTTAGTAAATAGTGATAACTTTTTAACTTTTTGAGTAAATTTTTGACTTTTTAACTTTTTTACAAGTTGCCAAACATGACCTAAATATAATGAGCATCACATCAACTTTATATCAATACCATCAACTATTTTCGGAGATAATTTAAAAAACAAAATGCAAATCAGAATGTATTGGCAGTACATGCACATGACGGCAGGAAAGCTCCCCCCAATAAGAGACAAAGAAAACGTGAGATCTTACAAGAACTAGCCCCTAAGACCTCAACCACCCACCCAGTGTTAGAATTAAGCAAAAGCAGTTAGAGAGAGGGAGAGAGAGAGAGAGGGAGAGAAGAAGAAGAGTAAATGACAAAGTACAAGGTGTTTGTGTGCGGAGAGGAGAGAGAGTTGGGAAGAAAGCAAGCGGCTGGGCAGTGTCCATACTGTGGAGGGAAAGTACAAGCGTTGGATGTGGAGAGCCATTGGAGGTTTTGCTTTCTACTCATTTGCTTCAACATCAAGAGGAAGTATTTATGTAGTGTATGTGACAAACATCTGGTCCTAAATTTTTGACATTTAACCACCGGGGTGGTGGCCTCGTTGATAACACTGCATTTCCATAGAGGTGAGTCAGTGCTTGGGTGCCTCGGTAATGAGTTTCTTCCTATAAATTAGGTTAAATTTAGCTAGTAACCGGTTATCCCGGAGTGAGGACTCATGAATGGTTTGATATCCTCACAGCGCGTCCTTTTTTTTTTTTTGGATAAAAAAAAAAATAAATTCTTGACATTAATTTTTATTTTATTATATTTTTTGTGTTTATTAGTCTCATTCAACTTGTAATCACTGTTTTATAATGAGTTTAGTCTCATTTGGATATTTATCTAAATTCATTTTTTGTACTAATTGTGTTGGTCCAGTTTCATATTTGGAATCGAGAGCTGTTCGATAACATTGTATCCTCCTTTATGTGTAATATTAGAATGCTCGTTTAAGAATTGAGAGCAGCGTGTGAAATATCTACATTAGATTGGTGACTTTATGGAACCCCACCAGAATTCCATGTGCATTATTCGAGCTAATTAATGTACCTTTAATTACGCTATTCCCAATCATCATTACTATTTTAATTTTATGGGCAAAATAAAGAAAATTTAGTGATGCAAAATTAGCATTAAGTATTGGAGTTAAACACAACTCCATCCAGCCTGACCTCCATGATTGAGGAATCCTTTCGTAATTGTTGTAACCCATGATTCAATAATAAGTTTGATGAGTTCAAAAGCCATGAAATTAAAATGTTTCTTTCGTGCATTTTCTCTTGTCTTTTCGATTCTCTCTCTCTCTCTCTGGGTAAAGTGAAGACTTTTCTTACTGAAAATGACACAGGAGTGTAGCTTATCCAAGTACGTTTTCAAATTGGAGAAAGCAACAAGTATGAAGGGACATAATTTTCAACAAGTGTGTTTATCCAATTTTAAAAGTTAAACTCTGCTTTTTGTCTGGGTGTCGGTAAGAGAAAAATTGAAGTCCTAAAGCGAGATTGAGGTTTCTGTCTTTAATTTGTTGGAATATTATTTTAACTTTAAAAAATGATTCGTCCACGCCCACCCAATCTGCCGGAATGTATTTATGACCAGTAAGAAATCAATTTCTTCCCTGTCACAAACATATTTGGGAGGAATTCAGGCGGAAAAATTATGTGAATGTAGTATTGATGTTTAACTTCTACAATTAAAATTAATAGTTATCTATCTATAAAGCAAACATATTTAATGGCAACTTGAACCCAAAACTCATAGTGGAATAATCAAGAATCTTACCACTTGGCCAACATATAATATATACTTTCAAATCAAAATGAAATCTCATATTTTGTAAATTTAATAACACGGACTAATACCCTAGTGTCTTTTACTGTAAAAAGCATGTCATTTGTGAATGGGTGTCTATAGTCCTATATATAGAGGAACAACCTTCACTCTCAGAAAAATAATATATTAACATCTGACGTTCCCTCAGTTTTATATGCAGAATTGTGTTACTATTTTCCCTTGTATATTTCTGGGCAACTTCGATCATAGATGGTTTATTAACCTTTTTGGTGTGCGCGAATGTCGGGAAGAGTAGCAGTGATATGGGTTGAACCTTCAAGTTATTCACTGTCCGCTATTACATTCGCGTGGGGAGGCAATAACAGATTTAGAACAGTAATTTCGTAGGACTATATAATCATTGAAAATTATTTCTTATTGATAATGCAGTTTGATTGGTGGGAGATGAGTTGAACTAATCTAAGCGCTCCATGAGATGATTGACCTTCGTCCTCCTAGTTAGACCTGCAACAAGTCCAGCAGGAAGGTTCCGAAATGGGATGGTTTCTTCCTATGGACCCTCCGACGATCAAGTTAGATGAAAATATGATGAGAGTAAGAACTCAGGGAAAATTAAGAGAGTAATGAGAATGCAGAGATAGAGAGAGAGTATCTCACTTGTACCCAAAAGTTCCTCAGAAGCTCCCTTATAAGCACAGGCAGAATAGATGGCTTTAGTAACCTGTAACAGAAAGAAAAAGCTCCGGCGGTGGTTCTTCCACCCGGGGGCACTCCGACGATCAAGTCAGTATATCTCTCAAAGATAAATCAAGTACTAAACTCACAAGCTTGAGTATCAAAAAGCATACCATAGACCCATGGGGGTGCCTCTCTTTTATACCCAATACAATCCTAGTCCCAATAGAAGTATGACTTCTATAAACTTCATATCAATATTTACTTTGGACTCTTTAAGAGATAAAGATAAACTCCCTAAGAGCTTTATCCTTATCTAGGTTAAGTCCCCTCTTCGTCTTAGGACTCTTGTCCCCAATCTGCCTATCTCGGATTCCGATATCTTTGGAGATAACCTCGGCAACTCCGAGATCACCTCGGCGTAACTACCAGGACACGTGGCACCTCGGTTGACACGTCGGCGTCACCATGCCACGTGTTGGTATTCAGAAAATATATCCCCACAACTGCCCCCTAGGTTCTATTACCTCGGCGCTCTGAGGTGATGGAACCTATACCGATATTTCGATATTCCTTTTCTGAGTAATGGCTCAAAAATTGTTTAGCCGAGATAATCCACTTTCAGCCGATGTGTTCTCTTCGGAGAACAAGGTTTCAATCGTACTTTCTCACACGCATGAGCTGTCATGCATATCTAACTGTTCCCTTTATGTGTTTTGTCTTCATTGGAGCGTGTCGGTGACGCGCCTGAAAGCTGTCTGACATTCGTCTGCGCCGTCTGACGCGTGCGTTTCTCTAGGCGTAATAATTGCCCTAATTTTGCCGCCGTTTCAAATTTTTGACAAAACTCTTCTTTGCCTCTATTTTTCCTTCACTTTTTCATTCTGACTTCTTGCTCTTTCTCTCTCTGAAAGCTCTTTCCTCTTCAGATCTGCCATTGCTTCGATCTCTCTTCTGGAACTGTTCTTAATCTCCCATTCTTGCGAAGCTTTCTTCACTGTTGCGACCGATTTCTGGGTTCGGCGAACATTGCCTCGGCTTCATTTGTTCTGGTAAGATTCTTTCCTTTCACTCTAAATTTTTTCATGAGCTTTCGTCTGTCTATTGTCATTGTTGCTTTTGTTCGAAGCCTTGGATTTACTTGTATCCTGGATTGTGGCTACATCTTGAACTTTTGTACTATTTTACCATTTTTCTTGCCACTGTTCTTGATTTTTTACTTCTGTATTTCTTTTGCTTCTGAGAACTATACCTCTGTTCTTGAATCTGAAACTATGTCTCTATTTTCTGTTTTTCGTATCTGTCCCAGATCTGTGCCTTCGATTTTGTTCTTTATAGTTCCTTAGCTTGGGATTTGTGTGTAGAACCTTCAATTTTTTAGGGGAAACTGAAACAAGCCCTATCAGTCCATTCCTAGTTCTCTGCCGAGGTTCTTGCAACCCTTCTCTAAACGCCCATTTTCTGAAACACATTCTTCTTTTGTTAAGTTGATGTGATGGGTATGTGGAGGCATAGGGTAAATACCCCAACAAAACTAGAATACTTTAGGCAGGAATTCTCTATCCCAGCCGATGTTCATCTTAAGCTAGCTGGGGATAACGACACCATCATGCCCACAGATCATTCAATGCCTTTCCCTATAGTAGCTTTTACTGAATGTGGACTTCGGCTTCCACTTGATCCCTTGTTTCGCGAAGTTCTTCATTTCTACAGGCTGAACCCCATGCAACTTACTATCAACTCCTACAGAGTAATTAATGGCATCATAGCCCTAGCCAGGCAGGAAAACCTTAGAATCACCCTAGCCGACCTTCAATATTGTTATACCATGTGCCCTCTCGACCTGAAGGATAGGGGTTTTGTCTATTACCTTAAGCCGAGATCTACTCAGTACAAAATTGTAGCCGACCTCCCAGACTCCAACAAGGGGGCTGGAGATGATTTTGTCATTGCTTCTGGAAATTGGGAATTTGGCCCAGATGAAGATGTCCACCTCTACCCTCTTCCTCGAACAATTACAGAGGGCAAGAGTAAGAGCCCTGAGTCAACACTTAGTTGTTTTTATTTAAGTCTTTAATACTTTTTGTTTCTGACGTCTGTTTCTTTGTCCTGCAGATCTTCATTAGCCACCGAAAAATTTTCGTCAATCCTTCTTCCTAGGAACAGATCTAAAAACACTCCTTAACCTTCCAATCCATAAACGAAAAGCCCCACTGTTACTAAACTTCATCCCTACATATAAATCCACTTTACCCGACGTCCCAAGAAAAAGGAAGAAGAGCCTTTCTCCACCCACGGCTACAACTTTAACTGCTTCTATATCCCGAACAGATCAAGAGTCCACATCTGACCCAGCCGATCTTCCATCAACTTCGGCCCCCTACTTAATACCAATTCCAGAACGTAAACGTCGACGAAGGCTTGTAAAGACTGCCGAGATGGTTTGTCCAAGGCCTGTCGTTCAAGATCTTCTCGCCGACCTTCCAACTGACGCCGAAGCTGTGCCAACGCAATCAATGCCCCCACCAAAGCCAAAGAAAGTTAAAAAGGCTCAACCCAAGGCCAAGGCTACAGATGCCGAAGTTGAGGATGCTTTGCCTATTTCTAAGCTGGCAGAAAGCAGAAAATCAACCTCTGCTTCCACCAAGAGGTCAGCTGAGGGCCAACCCTCAGGGTCTACACAATCAAAGAGGCCAAGGTCATCGTCTGCGACGACCTCGGCGTCAAAGAAGCCCGATGTTCCATAGGCTCCTGAACTAACTCTGGAGGATAGGCCTATCATGGCCAGTGAAAGTGCCGACGATATTAACGTTGGTGTCGCCCTTAGCACTGCTCTTCTCTTTCCAAATGATTTGGAGCGAAATGCTAAGCTTAGTGAGTATGAGAATTATGCTCTCATGCTCCAACATTCTGTTCAGGTAAGCATTTCTGTTTGCATTTGTGTTTTTTCCTTCTGTTTCTTACTGAAAAAATTTTCTGACACTTCTGTTTTCTTTCAGGCTATCCAACACGCCCATTCATTTTCAATGCAATCCTTTGAAAATCGTCAAAGATTGGTTGATATGAAGAGGGAGGCGTCCTCTCTAAAGAGGGAGATAAAGTCTCTTGAAACAAAAATGAAAAAACTGGAGGATCAGGCCGAGGCTGCCACTAAAGCCCAAACTTTAGCTCTTGAGAAGGCCGAATCCGCTGAGGCCGTTAAAAAAGTTGCTGAAGCTGAGAAAAGAGAGGCTGAGGCTAAGAAGACCCAAGCGGAGAAAGAA